ACACACACACAGAAATGTGGAGAGGAGCAAACACAGAGCATCCCTCCTTATCTACCCGTTCTTTGTTTCTCTCCTCTCTTTAGGAACTAGGCTGCCTAGCCTTGTGTCAGTCCCTTCCTATCAGCCATTGATCAGTTTCATCAATCTGTGATTGCCCAATGACAAATATTTAACATCCCACCATTGAATTGATCTGCATGTTGTGGGTAAAAACAAAACAGGGGCTGTGTTTTCTGCCTCAAGAGGTCAGGTATGCATTCTGCAAATGTGCATCATTTCCATGACTTCAAAGTAAAAGTGTGAGAGGAAATTGTGTTTATTTGTGGTTATTTTATAAGTTATAGTCACCACATGCTCTGATGCATTGCATCACTAAATATGAAATTTTAATAGCAAAGTTCAGCAAAAGATGCTGCTGATGTGAGAGTGCTGATGCTGAGGGAGGACAGTGAGCATGCCTGTGGGATCCTGGGATCTAGGGCTGTTCTGTGATTAATGATGGGGACGCACCCCACTAATTGTGGTTATTGACACAGGCACACGTCCCCAGACAAAGCAGGACAGGGCTGGAGCAGGGTGCCATTCTCAATCACCGTCCAGCCGAGCATCTGCGTGCAGCTCTGGGGGGTTTCAGAGCAAAGAGGGGGTCATAGGACATTACTGATTACAGTGGAGGAGAACTCTGGGGATACGTTCATATCCAACCAGCTGAGAGGACTATGGGAATGTTCAAGGCGTGGGATACAGCTGGGATAGAGATTTATTGGAGACAAACAGAGAGGACAAAGATACTCAAACTGGGATGGAGAGGATTTCCTATTTTATTCTGTTTAGATTCACTTCATTGGATTAGAAATAACCCATTTTAATGCACCCACTAAAACAAAATCTACTACTTTATTATTTTTATTACATAATTTTAAAAAACTTTATATCTTGACTCGATCTCAGAGCAAATCCAGTGCGTGAGTCCTACGAGTCTCAGATGCAGTTCACAGTTTAATGTTTCTAACAGGAGTTAACTCTACCTTTTTACAGCCAGGGTAAAGATTTTACACAACTGACCCACGGAGTCTGTAAAAGCAGAATTAATGGCCCCAAAATGCAAATGTGCTGTCCTTTCCTTCCACCTGCCAGCATCTTGAGCGTGAGGACAGATGGAAGTCATGAATTGGCTGAAGAGAGGGACTGCAGACATTCAGCTCTATTAAGAAATCTCTTTATAGGAGGCGGGAGCTGGGCTGTTCATATTGTTTCTATGAGCAAAGCGGGTACCACAATGGGCTTGTTCTGAGAGGGACGGGCTGCGCTGAGGTCTGTTTCACATTTACTTTTGGGACTACAATCAGCGCTCCATTCAGAGTTACCATTTGTTTTTACATTTTCATAAATCCTGTATTTGATTTTTCTCTGATTGAGCGTGTGTGAACGTGTTTCTTAATTGTACCTTGTTCACTCCCTCCTGCATCAGAGTCATTCAGGCAGACCCCCTCCCACCCTCGCCCCCTCTTCTTGGTCCCTCTGTGGCCCCCTAGGCCCCCAAGCCCCCGTGAGCTTCCCACAAAAGTCCACAATGCAATTCAAACAATAGGCCAAGGGACAAAGAGCACATTTACACAAGTGGAGCTTTCTTTAAAAGCAAAAAGGCACTGTTTGGAAGATTTCCAACCCCGACCACCCCCTTCCTAAAAATCAGGAGGAAAAAAACATGGATCCCCCTTTTTACCTCCGCATCCCACCTCTCGATTCCTTCGCTTTATACACACACGCACACAAATCTCCATTCCAGTGATGGACACATGGGAGCCAAATATACTACAGCCAGCCTGATCCCACCCGCTAGTCCACAAGCACCCCCCCAATTTAGCCAAACACCATTTTTACGGGACAAAAGGCCTTTAGAGGCAGAGTGTATGCGAGGGCTCTGGTGGATACCATAGTGGCTTAAAGACCGTGGAGGCCTTATTTTACTCCCAGTCGCCTTCCAGTCCACTTTCCTCCTCTCCGTTTGCTTTCTCTTTCTCCTTCGGTTTCTCTCTCAAACAGTGAAAGCTTCAGCGAGGGGTAGTACGGGTTTGGGTAGGGGTGAGAGGGTGGAGGGTGCGCTTCTGTCAACATTGTGGTATTTTCCCAAAGATGCATATCGCCTCTGTGCAAATAGGAGATGTATTTATAGGAGTACATAGCAGGCTGTTGCATGGAGGGTGTTTGGCCGAGCTTTCTGCCCCCACAACTCCGCGGATGGTCTTCATGGCTCGTGAAATTGTTATTCTTTAGATCATCGTTGGCTGGGAAACACACTGGTTCTCAGGCGACCACACAGTGCTCTCCATCCCAACATAGCCGCCACACAGGGGAGCCGATTGAAGGTCCAGCATCATACGTCTTGACTGGAGCCAGTATCCCGAGGACCCCATCGCTGTGGTACAGAGGGCAAAGGCTGGGCAAACAGAACTGACACGACACAAACCAAACATTCACTCAAAAAGGCTAAATAGATGTTTTTGTGTCGAGTATAACAATCACCTGGATTAAGCAAATCCATCAGCGCAGGTTCTCCTTCTCTGTCAAAAAAAAAAGGTCAGCCAAAGCAGACAGGCAGGTAGCGTCACACCGCAGGAGACTCCTTGCACGTACTGTGGCTGAGGAAACCTTCGAAGGGAATTTGGCACAGTGTAAGTAAACAGAAAACACAAAGCTAAGATCTAGAGTTAGCCAACAATAAAGTAGTTCTTAAACCCTCTGTAATCTGTGAGTAATCCCTCCAACCACCCCGGATGAACACTTTTGAACCATCAGTCCTATTCTCATCTGTACTTTCGAAATATTCTGGTCAAACTGGTCAAAGTGACTCTGAACTGGTTATACTGGAACACTGAGGAGGTGAGGTCCTCCAGTAAATATTACAAGGTTCAGTTTGGGTGTGAAGATTTAGTTTTTTTATACTAATTTCACACAAAATACAAGAGTACACATTATTTAAACGTATCCAACAGTTTTTATGGGTGTTTGCATGATTGGTTACTGATTCAGTCACCAGACCTGAAAGAGAACTTTTTTCTTTGGTTACATAACCAACAGCTTTTCTCAGAGTCCTTCCTTATGAAACACACTCCCCCAAATGACAGTTGTGAACAGTTCCAGTCTCTGCTGTTGGCTAATGCCTCAGTTCTCTGTGCATCACACGCACAACAGGCTGTGCAATCCTACACAGCAGGGACAGAGCGCGCGCACACACACACACACACACACACACACACACACACACACACACACACACACACACACACACACACACCTGAGAGACACAGACTGGGTTCTGCTGGGAGCTGAGTGTGGAGTGAGTGTGTGTGTGTGTGTGTGTGTGTGTGTGTGTGTGTGTGTGTGTGTGTGTGTGTGTTATGGCACACACGCGTTATAGCCCTGTTAGCTAGCATTGACATCTCCACCTCAGAGCTGGCACACGGGGGAGTTATTGATTAGCTTTAGGCATCCATGCAGAAGGCCAATAAATAGCACGTGAGCCAAAGAGGGTCTGGGAAGTGCATGTGTGTGCGTGTATGAGTATGTGCGTGCATGTGTGTGTGTGTGTGTGTGTGTGTGTGTGTGTGTGTGCATGCGTGTGCAGATGTGGAAGGTCACAAAAAATAGCGTAGAGTTAAATAAAAACACTTTAATCTACGAACAAAACCCTATTTTTAGCATTTTCTTATAAATTTTTGTTGCAAACTAATTTTTTATTGATTTTTTTAGGTAACGCTTTACAATAAGGGTCCCTTCAATAACATTACTTAGTGCATTATTTGGCATTAATAAACAAAAGATCCCTTTATTGATGTTCCCAATATTAACTATTAAGTATTCTTAATGTTTGGACAATTGGCCTGGGGGTGGGGTGGGAGGGGGGGGGGGTCTGCTTAGTAATGCATGACTTATATTAGCATAAATATTAAGCAGTTGTTAATACTTGTTTATTGATGTTCAACAATGCACTATTAGTAACATTAATAAAGGGACCCTTATTGTAAATATTACCGAGTTTTATTTTTGTAACATTTGATTTGTCCGCACAGCAGAGCAGACCACGACCAGATGGAAATGGAATTGATAGACCTGACCTAGAAGTCGAATTTCCTCGACTTCCAGAAGTTGCTGCTTCAGGCATTAAAACGACACAAGTTTCTGCACGCTTGTCAGGTACTGTGGTGTCAGTCCACAACTTTCCTGTCACGTCTGTCACTTGGAATATCGTGCAGACGTCACTGATGCTGACGATGCACATGGCGGATTCTACAGATCATGAATAAAAAGAGTCTTTGTGCTAAAAATCCTCAAACAAATGCTTTTTGACTGCAGAAGCTTTTGTCACATTTCTGTAGAAAGAAAAGGGGAAAAAACACCTTTAACATCATATTTATTGTTATTTAGTTACTCAGTAAAACATATACAGATATATACAATATGCAGGAAAACAGATGACTGCACTTTACATATTAATAAAAAAAAGAAAACAATAACAAAAGAAATCCGTTTGTAAATTGCCGTCACAGTCCTCCATCTATTGTTTGAGAAATTCAAATTCAGAAGCTTTATTTAAAGGTTACAAGATTGCCTAACACACAGCAATGTTCTCTTATTATACATGTGCAATACCAATATTCCTTTTTTTTCAATTCCCTTATTAAACAAACCATCGATCACCACGTTTTTAAGTCCCCATTGGCTGAATTGTATACAAGAAGCTCACGAGACGTTTAGCAGAGAAGACGGAAGAGAGGGATGAAGAACAGGAAGCTTTATGAAGAGAAAGATTAAAAACTGAAAATGGATTTGATAAAAGAAAACCAAAAGTCTGAGTTACATTCATGCATAATCTCGGCTCCAATTGTCTGCTTTTTACTCTTCTGGCCTTTTCTGAATAAACCAGCAGGTTTTATGGAAAATCTTCTGACCTGCAAATGTTGAAAGTTAAAAAAGCCACTAAACTAAACCCCGGTATACAATCGAAGCCAATGACAACTTTTCTTCGTCTGCTTCTTCTTCTGCGTTTCCCACATTTAACTTTTTTTTTCAACAAAGAAATGAAAAGAAAAAAAGCTGGATTTGAGGTTTTCCAGATGTGGGCGTCAGCCGTGGAGTTGAGCCCCGCTGTCGCCCAGCAGAACGAGAGGATGTTCTTACTTTTGACTGAATGAATCAGAAAAACAACAACATGGCATTTGCTATAATATGTGTGTGTGTGTGTGTGTGTGTGTGTGTGTGTGTGTGTGTGTGTGTGTGTGTGTGTGTGTGTGTGTGTGTGTGTGTGTGTGTGTGTGTGTGTGTGTGTGTGTGTGTGTGTGTGTGTTCATGTCTCTCTCTCTCCCTGAAGAGCTGCACACACCTGTCTCCAACATATCCTCATCACCGTCCTCATTTTTTTGTCTCTGAGGTTGAGCTTTTTTTCTTCTAATTCTCCATCCTTCTTCCTCCAATCCTTTTATGTGTTTTCTTGTTCATGTCAGCGCTGCGACAAACGTCCCAAAACGGTTCGAGATATCCGAGTGGAGAGAGCGCCACGAGGAGACGGGTCCCCCTCGGCCCTTGCTGTCTCCCAACTCATCTGTGCAGTGGACAGACAGGCACTGCAGGTGGTTTGCTCCACCGCTGCTCCCTCCTCCTCCTCCTCCAGCTCCTGGACCGGCCGCTCCAGCCTTACTCTGGGAGAGCTCTAACTCTGCAGATAAACAACAAAAAGAAAACAGAGTGATAAAGACTTTGCAAAAAAATAAAAATTCAAAAAGAGAAGCAACTTTAAGCAGCTGGCATTCTCTGATGCAGATGAATCGTTTAAAATACACACGTTTAATTAAACCAGTGTCATTTTCACATCCCACTCTAAATCTGCACTGTGAAATTAATTCAACACTTTTTCACCCCTCCCCCCCACCGGCAGGACCTGAGTAGGAGCCTGTAAAGTCCTCACAGTCCACCTCCTCACTGCCTGATATAAATATGTGAAAGCACAACACATGCAAATCTACACCCTACTGTTAGTGAGGCAAGGAGCACGGAGCAGGGCGACCTTTAACCCTGCTTGGCGCAATTTAGCAGCATAATGACCACGATGCAGCATCGACCTCGTGTCAGCAAGGTGTGAAGTTTTCTATTAAACGCTTTCAGAAAATCCATATCCAGTTTGATTGTATGAAAAGATAAAAAAGCAGAGTGAGTTCCTGCTGACATCTAAGATGCATGTTTTACACGAGGAGGAAGATCAGGTTGTGCCGCGCGGGGAAGTCGATCGCCGCAGGAGAAGATGGACGACGACAGGAAGAGGTGGGCTACACGTTAGAGGTACGTGGTCACATTCTGTCACGCATCTGTGTCAAGATACAAACCGAGGTTGTAAAAGGTAGGATTTGACAAAAAGGATACAGAATAGATTTGGGGGGGGGGGGGGGGGGGGGGGGGGCACCAAATGAGATATGGGGGTGAGGCTATGAGTTGCAGCGCTGCAACTTGTGCTTTGGGTTTTGCCTCCAAGCTAGCCCTGAGCAGCAACAAAGCACGTGTGAAGATGTTAAGAGATCCTTCATTTACATCAGTCCGATTAACCTCCCGTCTCCTCACCACACAAAATGCTCCGCAAGGCTGCTTGAAACAAATCGGATCAACCGCGTGAAGACACAAATCTTTGAGGTTCAGGGACACGTTGGTGTCTAAAACTGGAGACAGGTGGAAAACAGCTGTGACAAGCTGAGTTACAAGTGTCACGGGGAGGGGTAGAAAACAGCGTGGGCAAAGAGGCTCAAGATCACACAATTCCAGTCATGGTGATGCTCAGCTAAAGGGAAGAGAAATGCACAATCTTTCCTGTTTGTATCATCCACCATCTTCCCTCCTTCTCAGCTGTTTTATTCTCACTCCTCTCATTTCTTTTCTGAAGCTTGTGGCAAAAGTCAGCCAGCTTGATTAAAATGCAACCAGAAAAAAAAGGAGAAGCTTGACCAACTAGGAGAGGCAGGATTTCAGGCACAGAGGCGGCCGAGCCCCCCAGCCAGTCTGGGCTGCGACCACTGGAATGGAAAAGTGGGGGGATTTGGTGAAAGGTCAGGCAGCCAAGTCTCCCGTTGTTCTCTGTTTCATCTGCTCCTATCACCGCTGGTCTCTGTAAAATTCTCTCCATCTCCCTCCCTGGAACCAGGAACACGATGGAAGTGTGTGTGTGTGTGTGTGTGTGTGTGTGTGTGTGTGTGTGTGTGTGTGGTGGTGGTGGTGTGTGTGTGTGTGTGGGGGGGGGGGGGGGGGGGGGCTGTCGGTGCAGTGGGTGAGGCAGAGATGAGGATTTAGAGCCATGTTGGTGGTGACTGTGACAAGATCTCACATTTGCCAGAGGGTACAGTCATACACCTCAGCATGGCTGATCCCCACCCCCTGCCAGATTCACCCCTCCACCCCCTCTTCCCAGCGCTGTGCCCTGGAGCACCCGCCAGCAGCTCATGCTAGCTGGGCACAGCAGGGTCCGCACCAGCCTGAATAGGCAGTCAAGCGTTCCCCTGGCTCACTGCTGACACACAGCAAACTGACAACACACACACACACACACACACACACACACACCACCAAGGCAGCGGTTGCTGCTGCCACACTCACACCAGCACTCAGCTGCTGCTCCACACACACCGGCCTGAAAACATGGCTGTGCATGTAAAAATACACACACACAACCTGAGGTAGACACGTTACTCAGCTTCAAAAAAAATGTACAAATCATTCACACACAAACACACTTATCACTGTAATCCCTGGAGATTAGGATTAAAGTTACACATCTGGAAATACTATAAATATATCTTAAATGTATAAGTGTGTGTGTGTGTGTGCGTGTGCGTGCGTGCGTGCGTACGTGCGTGCATGCGGGTGTGTGTGTGTGCGCGCATTCTTCTGAATGCATTTAT